ATCAGAAAGGACAAGAGAGCAATCAGAGACAGAAGGTGACTCCTAGAAGATGGCTGAAGGCAGGAAAGCAACAAGAGAAGTTTGTTCCTGAGCCAAAGCTGGAGAGAGCTGAAGTAGGGGGGAGCTGCAGAGGGCAGTTCATGCTGGCTCTAAGATGGAGAGCTGGAGACAAGGGCCAGAGATGTCTGAAAGAAGTGGGGAGGAGATGAGGGACTACCCAATGATATCTCCTTTTTGGAGAGCTGGATCTAAAGAAGAGAGCAATGAGAGGGTCAGGGGAAGTGAGGGATGCTTTCCTGGAAAGGTTGTTCCCGCCAGAGAAAGGCTGTGGGACTTCTCTGGGAAAAGCAAGTTGCACCCTAGATGGAAGGGTTGGAGCGGTTGACCTGGCAAAGGGAGGGAAGAAGACAGACAGGAACCTAGTTTGCAACTAAAGGCACTGGGATATGGTGAGAACAAGGACCATGTGCATGGGGTAATATGAACTCTGTTTTGGGACTTCTGTTATAAACTATTTGCACAAGGTTTCTGTAATAAATGGATTCCCAGGAACAGTACTGGTTAAGTAAAAGCCTGAAGTGGAGTCCTTTGGGTTAGCCAAGAGGGAAACTGAGGAAAGGGGTGGCCCCCGAGGCCACAAGGTGATGCCCAGGAGGAAACATAAATTTACAACTACCATTGTGACACTGTTTCTAGGACACTTGAAGACAATGAAAGGATTAAGGCTGGCTCTTGGAAAAGATGGCAGCTTAGCGGATAAATTCAGTGGAAGGTCAGCTCCTCTTCATGGAGCACAAATTTAATGTGAGGAAGCAAAAACTGATCTAGTTGTCTTATGACTATAACATATGTGATGTGTGTGGAAGTAGACACATACAGTGCATTTTTTTGATGCTGTAGGATATCAATTAAAAAAAGAAAAGAAAAGGAATTAGGAAAAGGCTCTGAGATACTCTGCAGCAATAACATTTAGGAGGAAATAACACTTGATGTTAGGCTTGTATTTGATAGATATAAAATTCAACATGAAAGTGCTGTGCTGCACCTGAGGTGCATTTTGTAGTATAATTGGAATAAATCTTAGGTTCCTTGCAGGACATTTAGCATCTGTTCCTGTTTATTGGTTAGCTTCAGAAAGCCAAAAGGAATTTTTATATTTTATTGGGAAGATCTTGTAGCTATAGAATGTACATTTTTATGCCACCTGAACTAAATGCTATGAGAAATTGGAGAAAGAACTTGAAATCTTCTGTGTTAAATACTGCAGACCTCTAGTGTGCCACAAAAGGAGTTCTGCTAGCCTGAAACTCCCCCACGCTGTCACAAAGTTGATGACTCTGTTTGCTTAACTAGCAAGAAATAAAGTTCTGAAGTTCCCTAATGTCTCTTATAATAGCAATGAATGTGATCCATAGTCATGGTAATCCTGCTCTTCCCCCAACAAAACTAGACATTTTAAATTAGACAGCTCAGAACAAGGACATTTTATGATGCAGCAGGTCCTAAACTTTTTACTGAGTTGACCCACCAACAGCATTTTATCTTTTTGGCAACTTGCCATTATACATATGCAATCTCTGCTATGGCACGTCAGATCTAATCCAGGTCTGATGCAGAAGGGAAAGAAGTTTTCCAGCCAGGCCAAACCTGAGTGGTGCTGTGACCTTGTGCTCCAGTAGCAAGGCTTGGAGTGGGAGCTAGGCCTAGTCCCACAAAGCAGGAGCTGCCGCTGAGGGCAGAACATGTGATGTGCATGGGCTCACTTTCCAACCCTCCCCTGAACCCTGGTAGAAGTGCATGTTTGCCTGGGGTCCAGTGATAGATTAACCTGGATATGGATGTGGCAACCTTTCTAGAACCTTCCTGTCATCCACTGTGGGTTGGCTCCTACCATTTTGGAAACATTTCACTAAATTATAGTTTATTGGCTCCTTCCTACTGAACATCACAGAACACTTCATACAGAGGATCAAAGAGAAAGGCCTAAAGACAAGCTTGAGATAAGATGCAGTGGTCTGAAGGTTAAGGCGCTGGTTTGGGCTTTGAGAGACCTTGGCAAGTCCCTTAACTTCAAGGAATGCAGTACAAGGACTATCTTCTATGTGCCTAGCACAATGGGGTTAAAGTTTTGGTTAGGGCCTCTACATGGTACTGCAGTACAAATAAATATAAAGGAAGGGACCCCTGGGCTTGGAAATGTAAATTCAAAGATGGAGGAGTTTGATAGCTGTTGTAGCACAAATAAAAGAGAGATCCTTCCAACTGTAGTGTTGTGGAGAAGGAAACAGCAGGAGCCTAAGACTGGAAGAGAACACAGGAACAGGGAGTTAATGGATACCCGTTAAGGGTATGGAGGAGTGACAATCCTCCCCCCCTCCACCCCTCCCAAGATACTTTTGAACATTCAAGAAGGACCAGAATTCATCCTTGGGGTATATTTTCTATTGTTTTGTACAGTCCTGTTTTTTTTTTTGCAAGAATCATTGGTTTACTATACAGTGAAGTTATCAGCACTAATCAGCCTCACAGGGGATGCTATGGATTAGCAAGTTGTTTTTTTTTTTTTTTTTTTTGGAAACTCAAATCATCATGGAATAGATTGTGATAGTTTTACTCATTCTGAGTAGCATCTTACTTTATCACTGGTCCCACCAAAATAAAGAAGACCATTAGTAGAGTAAGGTTTTACTTAATATAAAAAAGAATATCACAATCTGGTCTTATGCAAATACTATTTACCATTATTTGATCCCATTATTGATCTGGGCTGTATGTACTGGAAAAACAGAAATGACTGTTAAAAAGGCTGACGATTATTAGGGGAAAATGCAACTATCTTGCCACTCGGCAAGCAATTTTATGATTGCCTATTTCCATGAGTAGTGAGAGCTTAAGCAATTCACAGAGACCAAATACCTGGCATCATTAAAGACTGGGAGCGCTTTCAATTACGCCAGTATTTTGCCTTAAGAATTTCCTTCACTCATGATTTAGGATAATCATTTACAGCTTACAGTGTCTTTCACAAACACAGGAAATGCATTTGTGTTATCTTATAAAGATTTTGGACACTTATTTTGGAAATGACAGCTTTAGGGTTCTGTTGTAACAGATGTAAATATAGGACACAAATAGCATTTTCCTACTTGTTACTGAAAAGAGGCTTCGCTAATCTGTCTTGTTCCAGCAGTTCACCAGCTTAAAAAAGTTCATCACATGAGGAAGAGTATCAACAGGATTCTATATAACTTTTTATTAAAAATAATCTTGGGTTATGCTGTTAGAAAAAACAAACTGTATGTTATGAAGAAATGTTTTTGAAGAGTTAATATGTGTAAGACACCGGGCACTATTCCCTCTCCCCCCAGAACCACCCATTATGCTAGTACACTCTGATTCTGAAATGACAGTTAATCAAAATGAAATCAGAGTCGTGATAACTTCTGTCATCAGTGCTAGTGTTACACCGAGACTGACACTAACAAAAGGGCAAACTGAGAAACAAGTGTCAGGCTAACTTTTAAAAATCTGGGTGATTGCAAAGGTTTATACAAACCAATTTATATATAATATATAGCTATCTCTTTATCTGTCACTGAAATTAGTGATAGGTCTGACCCAAAGCTCTACATCTGAATATGCCAAACTAGGAGAAAATTAAAATTTGACACCATAGTTTCAACTTTGTGACCTCTAATTGTCATGCAGTTAAGCCTGAGGTGAAATCAGACAGTTAACTCTACACAGGACTATTAAGGGTAATTTAGAACAGGAAGTGCAGAAAATATAGTGTCTAGTTGATGTTTCAGTGAAAACTCTTCTGGGGGTGTGGAGATATAGCCCCCCACCCTCCACCCACACACCCACACACACCCCTTGGCCTGGAGCCCATGGTGGCTGATAAATATAGTTACTCAAACTGGTAGCCCGAACCCGGCTCTTCCGGGATGTAATCTACTCGCCACGAGCGAGTAGATTACATAGATTGTCGAGCCCTGGATATAATAGAGGGACAGCAAATCAAATTAGTATATCAGGTAGTTTTAGAACTTTTATTTTCACTTGTTGGAGTGGTTGAGATTTGTTTTGGACAATTCCTATTTATTCCTGCTCACAGGAATCTGTGCTCTAAAGAATTATCCAATATGGTCACAACTGATCAATTCCAAGACTAATCTTTGCTTTCAAGATTAATTTAGGTCTATTCTTCAGTGTTCCCAATCCTGAGTACTAATATCAGTTAATGATCTATATATTAAAAATTATTTCTCTCTCTCTCTGCACTGATATTATTTTCCCTTTCACTACTCCATGGAAAACAGGAGCCTGTCTGCTGTTGTTGAACATCTACTAACAGAAAGTTGTTTTTCTTTCCTTCTAGTCAAATGCTACAAAATCTGGTTTAAAGTTATTTTTAATGCTAATAAGGAGGGACAGGGAACCTAAGGTCAATATACAGTTATTAGATGAATGAGGAGATATGACTGAAATAGGACTCTGACATTTTCCAAAAAATTTGTTGCTTGAACAAAACAGGCTGGGTCAATTTAGTACCTGAACTTCCAGTGCCGTTACCATGGTTTCCGTAGAAAGAGGAATGGACTGCATTCCAATTATAATCTTCACAATGACAAATAACAGGAAAATGGGAAATGGTCAAATAAAAACGTATGTAATCATGGAAGAGATGTGACAGATATTATTGGAAGTTTACATTTGTTTCTGAAATAACTTAAGTATACAGAATGCAGATTGATATATCTGAACAACCTGCCTGTCCATTTATCAGGTGAGATTCTCTTGCCCTCCAATCTTATTTTGTTCTCATATAAAGCTGATTCAAAGTAACATGAACACAACACAGTTATGGAAGTCATTCAGCTGTTCCTGAGAACACCTATTAAAAACAGCCTTCTTTTTCCTTTTTTTAAGACACAACCCTTTAGAGTCATATCAAACAGAGTAAATAAGTATTAAATGGAAGTGACTTGATGGTTTACCTTAAAGGAGATTTCATACTGCTCTCCTCCCCATATTTCTAATCCTGGATCATAGCCACCCAGCTCCCAAAACCACTTTCGGTCAACAGCAAACAGACCTCCAGCCATAACAGGAGACCTAAGGAATAATTAAAACAAATTGTAAGTGACAGGAACCATCATGTCATGCTTGTAAAACTAAAAAGATTAACAATACACATTGACAGATTATGATGAGGCTGCTAGCAATTGTCAGTATGTGTCTGCATGTGTGTGTGTTTGGGGGGTGGGGAATAGATGTCAGGTTCTCATCATTCTAGAGTTGTGAGGGAAAGGAAAACATTTATTCATATGAAAAAATAAAATCTTGAAAATGCTGGTCCTTCCATGACAGCAGATAAACCATAGCTCCACACATTTACTCAAAACAAGACTTTAGTTTGTCATGTTGATGCTTAAAATTGCTGGAGAAAGGCAGATGCTAGGTCAAAGTTTAGTGACTAATCTCTTAGAAATGATTATCCAGAACTACTTTATCATATGATGTTTAGATACTGCCAAAGTTGAGAGCTATTTTATGAAAGAAAATATAGCATGTGAGAACATGGCAGATGAGTTTTATTATTAATTCAGCTATATTTGCTAAATCAAGATTTTCTTTGTTAGTTGAAAAAGAACTCAGAAAAGATCAAAAAATATTTCATGTAATCTCCATATTCCATATGAAGTTATGCACTTTTGAACCCTCCCATTTCCTTCCCCCTCTTTGGTATGTGAGCAAAACAGATCAGTTCATTTCAGTTTCACGGTTGCTCTCTGAAAGAGTGCAGAACAGTGAAAGGGGGTGGCTGCAGAGCACTGACAGTGGTTAGGAGCAAAACATCTGCTTGAAATTTGTCCCATTTACCTCTCAGGCAAATATCTCGTTTGTTCTGTGAATATTCACATGAATAAAATAACTGCATTTTCTTTAACTGTTTTCTCACCCTTTGTGTTCACGTCTATAGATGACAGGGCAAATGAGTTTACAGGAAAGAAGGAAATTGTAAGTTAATATTAGAGAATATTCATGGAAAAGTGAGTTTTAAATTCATAAACATGGGTATTTGCACTGGAAATCTGGTAGAGTTATACTCATCCAATCAGACAGCAGCGATTTTCATTCTCCAGTGTGTCTGAGTGTATAGGCAGTCACAGCGAATCACCAACCACTCCCTGATCCTGGGCCACTGGGCCATTGTGGAAGTTAAGAGTAGAAAGGGGCCTTACTCTTACTAATGCTCTGAGCTTACACATGTAGTAGATGCCAGCAGGGCATCAGGGTTATGTCTACACTGCAGCACTATTTTGGGTTACCGGAGATTCATGTCTTTTGAGCATGCCTGTTTTGAAATATAATGAGTTCGCTGTTCCAACGCCCCCTTATTTCGAGCTACGGGTGCAGTGTAGACAGGGGCAGCTCATGACTATAGGTGGATTCGGTTGCCGCCTAGGGCACTGCCGCCTCGGGCCGCTCCTGAGTGTAGACACACCCCCAAGCGTAGTGGAACTCTGGTCCATCATAATTCCCTCTTCCTTCATTCATCCACAGACCATTTTCTCTCTCTTGGATGCCAAGCTAGGAAGAACTTTACAGTGGCAGAGAATCCCCCTACACTGGGTATTCTGAAAGTGTAACAGAAAATGATTCTCTCCTCTACTTTAGGGATCACAAACAAGGTGATGGATAGAGGTTGTATCTTTTGCTAATCAGTTTGTTTTTGTGCAATATGTTTTTCTTAACATTAAATTAATTTACGTTAATTATTCTGTAAATTAAAAGGCATTATAGTAGGAAGCCCTCTTTTTTTAAAAAACAAAAAAATATTTTTCCAGACAGCACAGTTTTCAAAGTAGCGAGTAGCTCTTTTTGAAACAAATATTGAATATATAGCTGATGAAATCACATCCTGTAACATACGCTAAATATTAATGGGCATTTTACTTTTATTGATATTTTGTACCGCAAATATCGACTGTCATTCCCACAACTGAATAAATCCAGTGAAGTGCTATTAAAAACCTTTCTCTGGGGATTTTTAACTACTATAATACATTTTCAACTCCAACCAAAAGTAATTCTAATTCAACATGTCCCTTGTGACTTCAGGTTAAAAAAAATAATCAAAACACAATGCTCAATTTACAAAGTATAATTTGCATGAAGGAAGTTGATAAGTAGATCTTTACTGGAATGTGAAAGGAAGCCTCAGAAATCACTGGCAGCACACAGGTTCTTTAGAGATTTTATTCAGGTGTCTTTCATCAAAAGACAGCTTAAAAGGCTGCCTCTCCCCACCATTCAAAGAAGCCAATAAGATTTCATTTGTTTTGGTACATTAAAGTTCATACCCTTTATTATAATTTAGGCAGCAGCAGACCATAATTTTTGGTATTTTCTTCTTTAAAACTAGTGCTTCTTACCATTTGCTCTCTGATAATTCTTACTATACAACACATCCTCTTATTTGCTTCCATGCAAAAAAGATTTGATGGAAGAGATCTGATAAGGAGAGCTGTTTAGTTTTTACTGGAGTGGGACCAGCAATGTAACGGTTAGAACATGATCACTTCGTATAGTGTGTGCCTCATTAAGATATAATCCACACGTATCTGTGTTTGATGAGATTTGTTTTAAAACTGGCAAGCACTGGGTGGACAGGAAGCAGAAACCCTACTGGGTCACTAGCATGTATGATATTAATTCCAGCCTGGCTTCCCCATCCCAGCTTTTTTTGAGACAGATTCCAGTTACCTAACCTAACATTTTAATTCTTCATCTAGCAGAACTTGGTCCACCAGCTCGATGAGCCTGAATGAGACACACATCCTCTGTTTAACTCTGAATCGGCATCTGAGTCTGTGCCCAACTAGACGCATTCAGGTTCTAAAAATGTTCTGCCCCTTAATGGCATGACATAGTGAATGAGCAGGACTAGTATTAAGTTGGGAAAAATGACCAGCACTGTGCTTTTCTCTTTGATTTGGGCCTTTTAGAATATTTGGATTTCTTCTTTTGATTCATGGGTGAGGAGAAAGAGGAGACAATCCTGGCATCTTGTGACTGAAAAATTATTTGCATTTGGACTCTGCAATCCTTGTCCTGCTCCAGTATAAGGAGGAAGACTTGGAGCCCTAGGATTCATAATATGCCCATTTGGTGGGGAAGCAGGAAGCCATGACTTATAGCTAATAAAAGGAGAGATCTTTAACTGCTTTTCTAGTGTGGACAGTAATAATTTAAAGCTTTCAGAAGAATCTTCCATCCCTAGGGGACTCAGGGAAACCCAGAAGTCTCCCATACTTTGAAAAACATTGCTCCTTCTTTCCGAACACTGCAAGATATAAAGGTGCACATTGTAGCTCTTTCTTCTCTTGGTGAAACCACCTTAGCACATCAAAACTTCTCTCTGTTGACCTCTGCTCTGGAAAGCAAGAGCAGATAACCTGTACCATGGATGTGCCTGATCACCCGATAGTGCAACACCTTTCCTTGCCTGCAGAAGAATATCTGGTAAATGCATGATAATTTGAATTATGATTAATCAACTAATGTGATGCATTAATTTAAGAAAGTATCTTTCCTCTTCCTGTAAGAAAACAGAATTACTTGCTACTGTCTTGCATACATCAGGCAAAATTTGCCTCTGGCATCATTCTATGCACCAAGTACCTGTAAAAATGATGTTTCATTGTGATTAAAGTAGAACATAAGGCAATTAATATAATGCCACCACATGCCATGTAGCACAGATGCTGGAATCAAAGATTAGCAATAAAGTGGTTAACCTTAATTCCAGGGCTCTTTTTGAAACCTGGTATGTTTATGATTGTTTCACATTGCACTCATTTAGAATGCTTATTTTTTTCCTGAGAGATCTTCACCATTACCAAGCATCTAACTTCTGCTTAGGTCTAATGAAAGCCTAACATTTCCTTTGATTTTTATCATATTCCTGTACAAAAAATCCTGATACTTTTCCTGATTTAATTTGGTTCTTTTTGCAGCGGCATATTGGACAATACCTTCAGAGGCTTTTGTACAGTAATTCCTATACCCTCACTTTGAATCTCTCTTTGTTGATTCAGTATTCATTCTCCCATTCTCTCCCAATTTTTGCATTAACAGTATCTGTAATTTATTAGTAAATGCATTTTAGAGCCACTTTCAGAATCAAACTTTAAAACAATGTATATTTTGTTAAAAGGCCATGAAACAGTGTTACATGGTTCATTATTTTGTCCCACAACCCCTTCTATAAGCCAGATTCTAATGTTCAAACAGGAACTCTTTTCTGATTTGGGGACTTGGCCATATGTGTCTAACTATTACATTAATACATCCCATCACCAAACATAATTAAGATTTACATTTTATTTAGTCCCTAGTGAACTCAACTAGACTAACCAGAAATTTGCTGCTTACAGTCTTAACTCTGCAGTGGGATCTCAAGTTTAAGTACAGGCAGTCCCCGGGTTACGTACAAGATAGGGACTGTAGGTTTGTTCTTAAGTTGAATCTGTATGTAAGTCGGAACTGGCGTCCAGATTCAGCCGCTGCTGAAACTGACCGCCAGTTCTGACTTACATACAGAATCAACTTAAGAACCCCAAGCGTCCCCAAGTCAGCGGCTGCTGAAACTGATCAGCAGCTGATTCCAGGAAGCCCGGGGCAGAGCAACTCTGCCTCGGGCTTCCTGTAGTCAGCGCTGGTCACTTTCAGCAACGGCTAAATCAGGACGCCTGGGGCAGAGCAGCTGGGGTGCTGCTGGGTTGCTCCAGTAGTGCCGCTCCTCCAACCCAGGAGCACCCCAGCTGCTCTGCCACAGGCGTCCGGAGAAAAGCCTATTCTGCTGGGGGGGGGGGGGAACTAGCTGCGCACCCTCCCACCCCAGCAGACCAGGAAGACACGGGCGGCGGACCGACACGCCCCGCGGTCCCGCCGCCTGGGTCCTCCGCGGCTTTGCTCCCCGTCTCCCTGGTCTGCTGGTCTCCAGCAGACCAGGGAGACGGGGAGCAAAGCCGCGGAGGACCCAGGCGGCGGGACCGCGGTGCGTGGCGGTCCGCCGCCCGTGTCTTCCTGGTCTGCTGGGGTGGGAG